AATTGCCATAATCCAGATCCTGTGGTGAAGGCTGTCTTTTCTTTATCTACCGGGTCCATTTCTACCTGCCAGTATCCAGACTTCAAATCCAAAGTAGAAAATAATTTACTTCCAGCCAATGTGTCTAATGTGTCATCAATCCGAGGCAGAGGATAACTATCTTTCTTGGTAACGTTGTTCAGCAAACGGTAATCCACACAGAACCTCGTTGTTCCGTCTTTCTTCTTAACCAGGACTACCGGAGAGACCCATGGGCTCGTAGAAGGTTCTATCACCCCGTCTTTCTTCATTTCCTGAACAATCGTTTCAGCTTCCTCTCTTTTCGCCTGTGGTAATCGTCGAGCTGTTTGACGAATTGGCTTAGCATTACCAGTATCAATTCTATGCTTAACAACGGTAGTTCTTCCCGTCTTTCCTCCTTTCGGTACGAAAATATCACGATACTGCCGAAGAAATTCCCTTAATTTCCTTTTCTCAATCTGATTCAGAGACTGTCCAGCAACTGCAACCATTTGATCAAATTTATCGTTGGAATTATCAGACGTTGTTGTCTGACGGATTATGGATGTGACAGGTACACAAGTTCCTACTTTTGTCTCTTTCTTGATGGTCACTGGGTAGTCATTGACATTAATAAGTCTCACAGGAATTTCTTTAGCCGAAGTCACTAATTCTTTTCCAATTATGATTCCACGGCCAACTTCGTCGTCATGATTCCAAGGTTCCATCATAACAGGTGTTCCTTCGTCCACAATTCCCTGTAGCCGCGCTACTATTATCGTTTCACTTCTCGCAGGCACGACTGTATCTTCTTTAACGGCTGCTTGCATAGTGTTGTCATCATGTGGATGGAGAAATACCTCCTCGTTACCAACTTTGATTACCTTATTCTTAAAATCCAATTGGAATCCATGCGCATTCATTACGTCCATTCCTAATATAACATCCTCTTCGATGTCAGCAACTATAACAGTATGGACGAACTTTTCTGCTCCAATTCCTAATTGTACCTGGATTTCTCCATGAATGTTGGCATTTTCACCTGTGGCGGTCCGAAGTCGCAATCTCGTTGGTAACAGTTTCTTTCGGCTGTTTATAACTGTCGGGCGTATAATGCTTCTGGTCGCTCCGGTATCCACCAACAACGTATACTTTTTACCATTTATTTCTCCATCTACATATACACTATCTTCACGACATTTCAAAGAAGCTATTAGTATCAGAGGGTCTTTGGTAGAGTTCTGGGTCGAAGCTGCTCCCCTAAGGCCGACGCGTTCTGGTTTTGTCTTCGGTCTTATGGTCTTCGTTTGCTTGTGTGTCATGCTTTTTATCATATTAAAGAGCTGGTCCAGTTTATCTTCATCTTCTTCCTCTTTTACAGTCCTAACTTTACTGTAACCGCCAGAGGCCTGCGTAGCTGACTCGTATTCGAGGGCGGCGGATAAGACATCAACCAGCGTCTTGTGACGAGCTAATCGTAGTGTTCTTTGCATCTCATGATCACGAAGACCATCAATAAACGTTTGAACGGCCAACTTTTCCATCATGTCTTCGGGAGCTGTTGGATAAGCATATCGTACTAATCTGGCGATATCTACTTCATATTCTTGAAGGGCCTCATCTTTCTTTTGTCTTCGATTTTTGAGCTGCGACTGATATACATGCTCCAAGTGTTCGTGGCCATATCGCATATTTAACCTCTTCTTCAGTTGTTCGAAATCATCCGTCTCCTCTACGGCTATGGTCTGGAGCACATCTAAGGCATCTCCTCGAAGAGCGATAGTCAGGTTTACAGCCTTTTCTTTTTCAGACCATCCATTCGCTCTTGCAGCTGATTCGAACTGTTTCATGTAGTTGTTCCATGATGATTTTCCGTCGAAAGTTGGAACCTTGACATGAACATAACCTCCGCTTCCTTCAAATTTCGGCCGTGTTTCTAACTTACATTTCGTCTCGTCTTCTTGTGTCTCTATGGTAATTGGATTGTTTACTCTCTCTGTTGTGTCTGTTCCCTCAATCTTCCTTTCCAACTCTTTCCATATCTTCTCTTCGAAGGCCATCATATCGGCAGCAACTTGGTTTTTTAATGAAGACACTCTATCGTCGAGGGCAGACATCTCAGAGGTGACTTTAGAGATGTTAGCAGAAACCTTGCTTTCCAGAGAAGCAATCTCGTTAGAAACTTTGCTTTCTAAGGATGAGATCTCGTTAGAAACTTTATTCTCCAATGATGCGATATCACAGGAAACCTTGTTAATCGATGAGATGACAGCATCTTCAAATATATAAGTTTCCGGATCTAAACCTTCTTCTTCCAAAGCCTTCTTTAGTCGTTGGACTAACTCAGCTTTTTTTCCGGTAGAAGCTAATTCTCTATCCTCAAGATGCCTTCTTAGATTCGTAACTGTGAGCTCGTAAATCGTAGCCATTGTTCACCAATTTCACTTCTTTTCAAAAATTCAAATTAAATTTATCTACAGTCCCACTTCTGCACCACTGTGATATATTTATATAGTTCGAATTTATTTGTCTTTATTCTAATTTATTGTCTATAATCTAATTTATTAAAACTCACGATAGCTAATTACTAATTTATTAAATAACTTTACAAATGTATGTATTTCACGTTTCGTACAAGTAAACCGCGTTTACCGATCTTCTTATGACTAACTCCTCAATGAAATTCTTCCGGTATTTATATGAAACCAGCTTGTAACAGAATGTTTGTAGAAAATACGATGCCGTTCTCGATCTCGACGTAGACACGGCGGCGACTGGTCTCAAAACATGTTCCTTTATCGGCTTGTCGCCCCCAGAACATTCGATTGTTGTTTGTCAGGTAGATTTTTTTGACCTAGAAATTACGAGAATCAATACAAAAGAATTAGTCATAAAATATTTACAGTTCTATACGCCATAACATTTAAAATCGTAACACTATTTTAATATTTATTAAATCATTAATCAATTATTTTTTAATTATTTTGCTCAACAGAAATTATATCTCTAAAGGATTAAATTGGTGTTAAGTTTAATTGGTATTGGACCTAACCTAACCTAAGCCTAAATAGGACTGAGTTATTTTCTTTCAGTGTGTTTTTGAATGTAATTTCTGTTTTAATGTTTTTATTTATTTTCATGCTCTTTTTTATTACTTCCCTTCCCTTGTTTTCTTCTTTTTTCTTAATTATATTCTCATTCTCCATTTCTTTTCTTTCAGCATCATCAAGCCAGCGTTTCCATGTCAGAACACTTGAGACATATTCTCTCCTTTTAGATTTCTCGTTTGTCTAAAAACAATTACGGAAAGAACGTAATTTTGTTTAATTAAAAATCGATGAAACATGCTATAAAAATATTCAGAGAATAATTCTGCTATCATCCATCAGTTTTTTGACTTCCCAATCCTTTAATAAGGCAATACTGCTTTAAAGTATGTAGATAGAATTCTTTTAAAATTGTACATTGTTGATGGGGAGCATATTCGCCGTCCGTACTCACAGCAATGGGAGTGGTGATATTTTCTTTGTCGCTATTCGGTGAGGTAGCATATACACGTTTGCCTTTTTTCTGCAATCACAAAACTGCCTGAAGGGTTAAGATAAAATGATGTCTCATTCATGCTCTAGATTCGTTTGGGATTATCCAATACTGCAACATAATTACTAAAATATACTAAAATCAGAAATACTGCATGCTATAAAGTTAGTAAAGAACAAGAAAGCCGTTGGCCCTGATAACATACCGACAGAGATGTCAAAGCTTATAAATGAGGTGAACATTGGAATACTGGTCAAACTTTTCAATGATGTTTATTCGACTGGTGATATCCCTGAAGATTGGTTAAAGTCCGAATTCATAACACTACCAAAAAAACAACGTCAGAAAAACTGTAGCGATTATAGAATGATAAGCCTTATGAGCCACACTTTGAAAATATTTCTACGCATCATCCACAGTAGAATCAGAGATAAATGTGAAGAAGATCAGGATGAAACACAATTTGGCTTCAGAAATGGACTGGGAACTCGGGACGCCCTCTTTGCACTAAATATATTACTGCAGAAATGTCGAGATCAAAGGAAAGACGTCTTTGCTGTATTTATTGACTATGACAAGGCCTTTGATCGAGTACAGCATCACAAATTAATTACAATATTAAAAGATAAAGGAGTTGATAGTCAAGACATACGATTCATAAAAAAGTTATACTGGCGTCAAACAGCGACAGCTTGCATAAACGGAAAATCAACAGAAATATGTAAAATACAAAGAGGTGTCAGACAGGGTTGTATACTATCCCTACTGTTATTTAATTTATATTCAGATAAAATATTTAAAGAAGCACTACATAATTTGGAATGGGGCGTGAAAGTTAATGGAATTCTGAAAAATACAATCAGATATGCAGACGATACAGTTATTTTAAGTGATGACATGAATGAATTACAATGCCTTTTAAATGCCATTGATACAGTGGGAAGAGAGTTTGGCCTAAACATAAACTGTGCAAAAACAAAACACATGGTGTTTAGCCGTTTAGCACATCAAGATGCACGATTATATGTTTATGGTCATATAATTCAAATAGTGTCCAGTTTTAAATATCTTGGTTGCCATATTACTGAACAATTAGATCCAGATCAAGAGATAAAATGTAGAATCGAGTTAGCCCGCACGACATTTTTAAAAATGAGGTCATTCTTCTGTAGTGATAACTTGCAACTTCAACTTCGAAAGATTCGAAAAATATTATTATGAATAAAATCGAGGGACGCAGAGGAATTGGTAGAAAGCAGGCCTCTTGGTTGAAGAATATCAGGGAGTGGACAGGAATAAAGAAAGCTGAGCAACTATTTAGAATAGCTCGAGACAGAGACAGTTTCACCATGTTAATCGCCAATGTCAAGGGGACTTGATAGAGCACATTAAGAAGAAGAAGCAACATCATTTCCAGGATCAACTAAAACATTTGGAAACCAGTTTTAACATTTTTTCAGGTGTGATAGCAGCACAAGCTTTGCTATTGTATACGGATTGTTTGATTAAAAGTTCTGGGTGTCGCGTCATGAAATTAACAAACCTTTTGCATCCGGGCCAATTGTTGGTGAAAGGATTTTCTCTTTTATTGTCATTCAATATTTTTTGAACAAAATAGCAAAGTCCATCTTTGGTCACCAGGCAACCTCTTTTACACTTAGCTTTCAACCATGATTATACCGTTTTTTCGAGAGCATCTCCTAACACAAGCGTTGGTCGTACTTTACTAGTTGTTCACATATATTGTGATATATTGTGATTAACATATTTGTTAATCTGGGGATAACAGTAAGGCTCCTACGATGTTATATCTTCTTGATATTATACTACGAAGTTGAATTTTGGAAACTTACTAAAGCGATGAATAAAAAGGTTGAAGCCTTCGAGATATGGCTATATAGAAGAATCCTAAGGATATCATGGATGGACAAGTAAACCAACAAGACTGTACTAAGAAGCATGGGAAAAGAGAAGTGATTTATACGATTAAAAGAAAAAGTTAAAATATATCAGACACATAATGAGAGACGGCACTAAATACAATTTACTGAAAATAATCCTTCAAGGCAAAGTATTCAGAAAACGAGGAATTGATCGCCAATATTCGAAACCAATAGGCACCAAAAGAAGAAGAATTGAATTATGTCCACTTATCATTAAAAACAACGAATTCTTTACTAGTTTAAAATAAAATTAGCGCTTATTTAGGACCCCACTGTAAATATATATTATTCCAAGCATTTAGAGAATAAATAGGATAAATGGACCAAATGCAACACAACGCCGCGTTGCACTTGGAAAGTTCCCCCAGACGGGATTCATCGATTGCACCACAACACCCCGTGACCCAATTTCGTGACCTATCTCCATAAATGGGCTGTCATAAACTTGAAACAGTAGCCGGGATAAAGCGCATGTAAAGTAAATCCTGCAGGATCGTGAGAATAAATAATGCCGGAAATTAAGAGCTATGTGGCGAAAAAAAAAAAACGAAAAAAGGAAACGAAAATTTTGTTTAATGTAATTACAAAGGGCTTTTCCTTAAAGCTTTTTAGGTTCGCAAAGAGTTAAAAGGTATATAAAATGGAGCTGTAAAAAGTATTATAATTTGCAAAATTAAAGAGATAAGGTTATAAAACCGCTATAATTTTATTTTTTTTTTTTTCGAAACTAATATACACTTTAATTTTTTTTTATTTTTTTTTTAAATTAAGTGAGTAAAAATAGATTTTTAAGTTGTAGATTTTATAAGGTCGGTCATAATAAAGAAATTATATCCAAGAAATTCTGAATCAAATAGGTGTAACGAAGAGCACCTTTAAAGTTTTTCGTCTTGGTCCACTAACAGATCAACCAAGACCTCGTATAGTCGAATTTAATGATTCAGCAATAGTTATCTCATGTTTAAAACATCGTAGATCTTTAATGGGTTCTAATTTGTGCATTGGAGCTGATCTTACATCTTCACAGAGTGAGAAAGTAAAGGCCATTTATCAGAAGTTAGAATTCAGAAAAACACAGGGTGAGAATTACTTGAAGATCAAGTACTTTAATGGGATATCCAAAATTATTGCCAGTAAATCCAATAATTTAAAAAACGATCATTGAGCTAATATTTTCAAAATGTGGGCAGAATGTGCACTAAACTTCAGAATATCAAACATGCTGTGAGTCTCTCTAGTTGTGATGTTATTATTAATATTGAAACATGGCTTAGATCTAGAATCTTAGATGCTAAATTAAGATTGAGTGACTTAATATGTATTGACATGACAGGAACACTCAAACTGGTTCAAAGACTCGTAGTGGTGGTGTTCTCATTGCTGTTTATAAGCGCCTTTATTCAATGTTGGTTAGGCCTATCGATTCCTTTGTGGAAAATGTTTTTACACAAGTAATGTGTGGCACAAAAAGTTCGTCATTGGTGCTGTGTACTTTTCTCCACGGTCATCTGGGTCAGTATATGACAAGCATTTCACCTGTATGTTGGACTTAACGAATGGATTCAGTGATTGTGAATTCTGTACCTGTGGTGACTACAACCTACTTGAGGCATCCTGGGATAATCTTAATAATGGTATCACAGTTGAGTGTCCGCACTACTCTCCAGCAAATATTATTTGTACTTGCTAAAATTTTCAAAATAAGTAAATCATTTGCCTAACCTTAATAATACATTTTTAGATCCAGTTTTTGTAATCAGAGGAATGCAGTTGTGTCGATTTTAACTGATATTCCATTGAATACTTCGCAACACCATTCAGCTTACGCTATATTGTTACATGCAGCTAATTTAAATTTGTTTCTTAAATATGATGTCTTCTATCATGATTTTAAAAAATATAATTATCAAGTTTTAAATGAATGCGCAAGGAAACTAAGTTACTGTAGCTGGATGTATACCATGTATCACAAAAAATTTATTTGAAAACCCTGTATAAAAGATATATAATTAAAACATCAAGTGTACATGTTTTGAGCCACTAAGTATTCTAAATATTTAGGTAAAAACCCATTAAATGTTATTAATTTAAATTTAAGTTACATTATTGGATCTTATAGACTAAAAGTTACAATTGGAATTAATAACTTGTTAGCCAAACTACCACACACCTACCACTTTGACGAAATGAGCTTTATCGCTGTGCTCCGTAAGATCAAAACTGCATAATTTTTATTAAAATCATAGTAGAACAATAGAACATTAAATGACAGAATATACCAGCTCAAACGAAAATACCGTATTGTCTTCTAGTGTACCATCAGATAATTGTCTTCGGGACTGGTTATCTTTAAATCCACCATTATCCTCGTCGGTTGAATTTTCATCAGTCAAAACATTTAGATCAGGCGGACTTATATATATATATGCCGGTTAGATTATTTTCATCGTTATAAACCATATCCAGAGCTTCCTGAAGCGTCAATCCTCTCCTTTAAATTAAAAACTAATTAGGTCTTTTATTGGCTTAGTGTGACCATTTGGTAACAGTTTGATTCAGTCTTACGTAAATTTTATGTTAATAGGTGAGGTTACCTGTAATATTTTTTATGTAATAACCTACTTTCTTAATTATATCAATAATTATTTTTCGAGTGAAAGAAAAGCTATACTTTTCTTTCCCTCGAATCTGCTGAATGTAATACAGTAACAAATTGAATACACTGACATCTAGTAACGAAAAGTTGAACTGCGGATAAATTTCTAGCGTTAAGTTTAACTACAATCAATATTAATTAAGGGCGTGTTTGCGTAACCAAGTGGTTACACAAGGCGTTGATAGATTAAATTGGTGTAGCAATTATATTTTTACCTGAAATTTGTTGTACTTATTTACTAACAGCATGCACAACATATTATTTTGTATAGATATAAAATAATCAATAATACTCTTTAATTTTCTAGTTTTCTATTTTCGTGTACAAAATACATTTTTCTTTAATTTTCCGGTGCTAAAAATTCAAATGGATGCATTTACTGTAAGTCTCAAATAAAAGCAAGTCTGTTATCTACATTTTATTAATAAAACTTTCCAATTATTAAAGAATCTCTCAATTACATCAGGCACTCAGTCGCTGAACTCTTGCAGGAATCCTAAGAACGTTACATTAATTTTGCACATCAAGGGGTTTTCAAATTACATCAGCGTCATCCTCAGTTACATTGTCTCGACGGTTGAACTAACAAGTGGTTTTCTCAAAGAAGATTGGATTTGCATAGATGAAAGGAATAGTGCACCGGTTCTTGTATTATACAGACAATTTCTTATTATGTATTCTGTTATGAAGACCTATAACTAAGATTACCAAGACCTTGTTAAATGGAGGGTTGGATAAGAATAAATTATAAAAGATCTGATTAAATATAAATACTAAGAACGCTATGAACGAGCACAGACTTAATATAGACAAAAGAGTAAAAAATTAGATATGAATGACAGTAGAATCTAAAAATTTCCATTTAAAAATGAATATCATGTAGACATACAGATTTTTGTTCAAACCTCCGAACAGTAAATATATCAGCAATTAGCGATAATTTATATTTAATATTAGCTGGTTAGTTTGGACAAAATAAGGATTTTTTTTTGTTTCAAATATAGAATTTTGTTTATATCTAAAATTTAAACAAAGCTACAGTGTAAAAGTGTTACTTCTTAGGTACTAAAAACTGTAAGTTTGATTTTCCTATTTAATCTATAACAAATCACAAATCAAGAGTAAAAAACTATTTCGCCGATTTGGCGTAAGGTTTATTACTAGTCCTTGTATATGGTCCTGGTGCTTATAATGATACATTATAAGCACCAGGGACGTATTCAGGTTACTTAACCCAAGCATGGAAATGGATTCAGCAGCGGGAACTTCCACCATGGAAAGTTCTGGCAACCTACTTGTAAACCAACCATCAAAATTATATATTCTTTATCTCTTAATTAACCTACAAATAAATTTTCAAACAAAAAATAAGAATTCTTCTTTATACACTGCTAAACTCTAATATTAGAGTTTACCTTAATGCAGTAACTTGTAAAGTGGATCTCAGAAAAAAAATTCTATTTCTAAAATTATTAACGATCGTATTTGTTAGTGAACAGACTGTCGATGAGTTTCTAGCAAACGACAATCGGAGTGTAGTAATTAATCAAGAACGTATTCCAACCCGAAGACTAATAACTCCAATTAAACGATTGATTATTTCCAACATATGTCCAAGTATTCCGCACAGCATTATAGAAGAACAACTGAAAAACTTAGGTATGCATCTAATAACTCAAATTGACTTTCTCAGGATAGAGATTCAAATCCAGCATTCAAGCATAACTTGAGTTTCCGACGATACACTTTTATAGCACCAACTAACTTAAGAAAATTACCCGATTCTATGTTAATTAATCATGAAGATAACAACTATCAAATTTTCTTTTCAATCGAAAAGCAATTCTGCTACTTATGCAAGCAGCAAAGACATTTTTTATCTCTGGGTCCTAATAAAAATGATCAGACTCCTTTAAAAAACACCCAAAATACTGTTCATCTAAACTCTCTAGAGGAGGTAAACCAATCAGCTCCTCATTCGACTATTTCTTTTACAAAATCCTCTCCTACCGAGACTGAAACTACAGTAAAACAATCATCATCATCATCAGTGGTGCTACAGCTCTAGTTGAGCCTTGACCTTCCCCAGTCTATTTCGCCAGTCGTTTCTGTTCATCGCCAACCGTTGCCAATTTGCCGCGCCGATTTTCCTTGCGTCCTCGTCCACACCGTCCCTCCATCTCAGTCGTGGTCTACCTCTACTCCTATTTCCCACTGGAACCGATAATAGAGTTCGTCTGGGTGGGTAATTCTCATTTGCTCTTGACACATGTCCAGCCCATCTAAGCCTGCCTATTTTTATGAAGGATATTACATCTCTATCATTTACTATTTTTTTATATTTCTCGTACAATTCGAAATTATATCGCCTTCTCCAAATACCATTCTCACAGAATGCGCCCATTATTCTTCTTAGTATCTTTCTTTCGAAGACGAGCAGAAGATTTGCGTCTATTTTGGAGATGGTCCATGTTTCTGACCCATATGTCAGCACTGGTAGGATGAGTGTTCGATATATTATTAGTTTGGTTTTCTGGCTTAAGTTTCTGTTTTTTAGCTGCTTGCTTAGTCCAAAATAACATTTGTTTGCTAGCAGTACCCTCCGTTTAACTTCTTCAGATGTGTCATTATCGTTTGTTATGAGAGAACCCAAATATGTAAACTTATTTACTACCTCAAAATTATATTGGTCTATACTGAAGTTTTGTTCGGCGTTTCTAGCTCTATCTCTGTTATTTGGAATAGATGCTAGCATTTTGGTTTTTTCCTCGTTTATTTTAAGGCCCATATTTTGTGCGGCTGTCAAGAAGGTGGAAGTCATCTCTTTAAGTCCTCGTGTAGTACGTGCAATTAAATCCAAATCGTCAGCGTACGCCATAATCTGCGTTGATTTATTAAAGATTGTTCCCCTATTGTGTAACTCGGCATCTCTTATAGTCTTTTCTAACGCTATATTAAAGAGAAGGCACGCCAGCGCGTCTCCCTGCCGTAACCCTGCATATGTTTCAAACGCTTGTGACATATCGCCTTGTATTTGCACTCTGCAGATCACTTTACTCATAGTTGTTTTTACGAGCCTTATTAATTTATGGGGAATGTTAAGTTCATTCATGGCTTCGTATAGTTTACCTCTTAGGACGCTATCATACGCTGACTTAAAGTCCACAAAGAGATGGAACGTGTCAATATTAAATTCATTGGTTTTTTCTAAGATTTGACGTAGCACAAAAATCTGGTCAATTGTTGACCTACCTGGCCTAAAACCGCTTTGATACTCACCAAGGATTTCTTCCACGTACGTACTTAAACGGCTGTACAGGGTGTTGGAGAATATTTTGTACATGGTATTCAGAAGAGTTATACCCCTATAATTTTTACATTCCAACAAATCTCCCTTTTTGTGTAGTGGACATATGATTCCAGTGCACCATTCCTCTGGCATTTGTTCTTCTTCCCAGACTTTGACTATTATGTTGTGAATTTGGTGCATAATGCTGTTACCTCCATGTTTGATGAGCTCTGCGGGGATACAATCCACTCCTGGGGACTTCCCATTTTTGAGTCGTGTGATTGCGTCTTTCACTTCAAATATTGAAGGAGGTTCTACGTGAGTGTTATTTCTTGGTCTTTGGGGTGACGCATCATTTTCCACTTCGGTACCAAGTAGTTCTTTGAAGTGCTCAACCCATCTGCTTTGTACTGCGTCAGCGGTACTGACTATATGTCCATTTTTGTCTCTACACATCGTCAGCCGTGGTTTAAATTCTTTTCTTGTCTTATTTAGGATATTATAGAACTTTCTAGTTTCATTTTGCCCCTTTAATGATTGAAGCTCTTGCATAATCTGGTTTTCGAAGGTCCGCTTTTTTCTTCGATGTATGCGTTTTTCCTCCTTCCTAAGATCTTTGTACATTTGCTCCTTATCCCGTGTTCTTCTTTGTTGCATAAGTTTATATGCATAATTTTTTCTTTTAGTGATATCTTCACATTCATCGTCGAACCAACTGTTGCGTGGAGTGGATTCTTCTGGTCCTAGGACGTTGTTTGCCGCTTCCTTAATTGTTCTTCTACATATGTCCCATTGCTCACTAGCTGTTAAATTCTCATCTGTTGTGCTTTCATGTTCAAGGTAATTTTGATACCTTTCTAGTGCACGGGGCTCTTTCAAGAGTTTTAAATTGTATCGAGTACTTTTCTTACCCTTTTCTTTTTTTGCATTTGAGATTCTTGCTCTTATTTTTGCGCCTACTAAGAAGTGGTCTGAATCTATATTAGCTCCACGATAAGTACGTACATCCATTAGATTAGAGAAGTGCCTGGTTTCTATTAGGATGTGATCTATTTGATTTTTGGTTGTACCATCAGGCGACGTCCATGTTACTTTATGGATATTCTTATGGGGGAAGTAGGTACTTCCAACGACCATGCCCTTGGATGCTGCAAATCCTATTATTCTATTTCCATTGTCGTTGGTGACGTCATGAGCGCTGTATTTTCCGATGTATGGACTATATATATTTTCTTTCCCTATTTTTGCATTAAGATCTCCAATTATGATCTTGATGTCGTTTCTGGGACATCTATCGTAGATGGTCTCTACTTCCTCATAGAATTGATCTTTGACATCCTCTTCTTTGTCTTCAGTTGGGGCATGTACATTTATGAGACTGATGTTAAAAAACTTACCTCTTATTCTTAGGTAACATATTCTTGGACTTATTGGTTTGAAGTCCATAATAAGATGTTTTACTTTTTTGTTAACAATGAATGCGGTCCCGAATTCGTGATTATTCTTGTGACAGCTGTAATATATATCGCATTGTCTCTTTTGGATAATTCCTTGGCCCGTCCATCTTACTTCTTGCACAGCAGTAATGTGTGCTTTATATTGAGTTAGTATGTCTATTAATTTTTTAAGATTTCCAGGTTCATAAAGTGTCCGCACATTCCACGTGTAAATTTTTAAATCTTTGTCCTTATTTCGTTGCATTGGTCGTCGTCGTAAGTTCCGTCCGGTTTCTTTAGCTGTAGATTTCGTAACGATATTTTTTTTACGGGGTAGAGTTGTTAGCCCTAAGCCCAACCTCCAACCTGGAGGGTCAGGGACTCTTCTGTTAGGGTTACCATACCTTAGTCCGTTTTGGTTCACGGGTGGTATTTTATTTCCCACCTACCCGCCGGTCCTAGGACCGGTTAGGGCGTTCCCCTATCCACCACCTGGGGACGCGTCCGATGGGAGACAGACAACTCCACACGGACAGTAAAACAATCAGCTCCTTTATTAATAAATTTCGATAAATTTTCGAAATTGTCGATAAAATTTTCTACACAATCCTATCTTACTGAGACTAAAACTCCTAGAAAAGTCATTACCTCTCAATCAAACAAGCATATTTCAAATAACTGCGAGCTATCCAAAGTAACTCAAATGAATACCTTAGATCAAGATACATCCCCACCAATAAGAGATAAAGAAAATGCCTTCGCCGAAGAGAAGCCTTAAAGCAAAAAACCAAAAACTCAACAAGAAAACAATATAAACCTAGTAGATCTTACCAAATGTACCAGTCAATTCTTAAAAAAAATCCAACAATGAATACTTAACACAGGAAGAACTTATTGACTTCTTTGAAAATGCGCATGGTTCTTCAGATCCTCTTAGTGTCGCCAGAACTCACTCGGAGGATATCGAAGAATCGAAGGATTGATAAACTGTCTAAAGAAAATACATCCTATGTTAAGTCCAAGATATAAAATCACAAATTTTAAGTAATATTTCTAACGATGATCCTAGCGATTCCTCTCCGGAAACTTATTAATCAAACTATTTTTAATTCATATTATCATTCTTATCTAATGGCACATTTGTAAATAAACTATTTATGTCAACAAAAAAAAATACTAAGTATAATTGGACTTGAATTAAACATTCGATTATTTATTTAAAAAATGTTATTTATTATTTTTTGTAAATGTGGCGTAAAATGGTAGAAAGATTAAGTAACTGGGTCAGTTTTAGATACTAATAAGAGTAAAACAAACTAAAAGAGTAATATAATCGGAAAGGGTACCTACCAGGAAAAACTTATATTCTCGTAAAATGGTAATATTACAAAAATCCAAATTTAAAAATCGAAAAGTTAATATAAAGTGTAGTATGCAATGTTTGAGATTTTTCAAGTTTAAAAACATACCACTGTTTATTTTTTCAGTGTACCCCCGAGTGATCTTCTTCTTCGGTTAGGCGAGCACGACCTTTCTACAGAATCAGAACCGTATCTGCATCAAGAAAGAAGAGTTCAAATCGTAGCGTCACATCCCCAATTCGATCCTCGTACATTCGAGTACGATTTAGCACTGCTAAGGTTCTACGAGCCTATCACGTTCCAACCAAATATCTTACCAGTTTGTGTTCCGCAATCCGATGAGAATTTCGTTGGAAGAACTGCCTATGTAACAGGTTGGGGAAGGTTATATGAAGGTAAGAACGGCCATCTTAAAATTATATTTTAAAAGAATGTATCAGAGCTGCAATTAAAATCAATTTTTTTTAATCTAATGTATTTGTTAAAGTTAATACCGTTATTTGATCTTTTAGATGGTCCCCTACCGAGTGTCCTACAAGAAGTGTCCGTTCCTGTGATTAACAACACGGTCTGTGAATCGATGTACCGAGCTGCGGGCTATATCGAACACATCCCACACATCTTCATTTGCGCCGGCTGGAGACGTGGCGGCTTCGATTCCTGCGAAGGCGATTCAGGCGGTCCGATGGTTATCCAGCGACAAGATAATCGCTTTTTACTGGCTGGTGTCATTTCCTGGGGCATCGGCTGTGCAGAGCCGAACCAACCCGGCGTTTACACTAGGATAAGCGAGTTTCGAGACTGGATCAATCAGATTTTACAATTTTAGATAGTTTTTCGATCTCGCGACGCAAATTTATAGAAATATTTTTAGAGAGCACTCCCCTAAATTTTGAAAAATTAACAAATTTGTTTGTTAAATTCAAGACTATATATATGAGCATTAAACTACAAATTTGTCAAAATGTTTTAAAATATTTTAAATAGTTAACATATTAAATGCAAAAATCAAAGTCCTAAAATATTAAACATAATCCAGTCGGCACAGACGAAAATGATATTGAACCTCTAAAACTCATACGAACAAGCTAAATTTTGTCGTGACTGTCAATTTTATGACGCCAAAAAAGTTGCAAAAAAGCTTATCATTTTTATTCCCACGCTTTCCCCTAAAATCTTCCTTGTAGATGGGGAAAACGGAAAAAATTTTCAAGGGATTTATCAAGAATCTGTACATCATAGAAAAAAATGTTTTTTCCGCAAATCGCCAGGAAACTTTGACATTCCTGTCAAAATTTCTTGAAGAAAAAGTCAGGACTTCCTTACTGTAAGGAAATGTCATTTCCTTACTGTAAGGAAATGATATTTCCGTACAGTTGTTAGTGTTCTACATAAATGATAGAAAACACATTGCTTATAAGGAATTAATTTATATTTTGAAAACATCAAGTCATTGCTGAATACATTTTTAAGAACAATTTGTTATATTTACAGTAATTTGACAGTTAGTACAATTATTGAACATTGGAGGAACACTCTTAGAACTATGAGAAACATTTTGGACAACATGCAGGGTGGAAGTGTCATTTTGTTGAATATTTTGTACTGTGAAAATTTTATTTGCCACCTCAACCTTATTGTTAAGCGATTCTTCGATATATCCTTCAGCAACGTTTGATGACTTCCATCCGCCATGCTTCTTTAAACTAGTTATGTCGGCACCATAGTCAACCAATATTGTTGCAGAAGACCGACGAAAGCAGTGACCAGTATATTCTGTCGGATTTACCAAGTTCAAATAAGTAGCAATTATTTTGGGCATTTTTCTAAATTGATGAATTCCTACCACTTGTCTACAACCCTTTCCGCTTTGATATTTAAAGAAAAATCGGTCACTGTTCATATTTTCTGGTCTTAACGAAACATACTTTCGATAAACATTCAAGTAGATCTGATTAATTACAAATGAATTTGGTTTGTTGGTTTTCGAATCAGGTATGCTGATTAAAAGCTTGGATTCTAAGTCTTCTATATCGTGTACAGTCATTCGGAGTAACTCATCCATTCTACAGGCCCCAGAAATACCAAATATTACAGCCACCTAAAAAATAAATAAAGCTATAATCTAAATAGAAATTAAAACCTTGTAAATCACCTTAATCATTAAATTTTCTTTATCTGGAGCTTCCTGGATAAATTTTTCAATTTCTTCCTTCGTTAAAATCTTAGATTTCTTTGCCCTATAACCTTGAGCTTGCCGTTTCAATAAAGAACGAAGTTTTGAGTATGTAGATATATCTACATTGTGTTTAAGTGCAAGGGTTGACTTCAGCATTGAATAATTGGCCCATAATGTTGAAGATTTCATCTTTAAACAAAGGTCTAGGAAGTATGCCATTACAACATTTTCTGAGAAAGAACTCGTATTTTTACTCATGCGATAATCCATAAAACGTCTGTATGCATTTTCGTACTTTTCTCTTGATTTCTTTGGCAATAATTCTAATGAAGCAGTATTCACTGCCTCAACCAGCTCTGGAGGAGTCCAAGGAATGGAAATTTCATCATCACTTATCATTTTACTTTCGAGAACACCAGCAATTAAATTTATAAGCGTCAAGTTTAACAATTCAACCTCAATACGTTTCCATAGTAACCCAAGTAATTTTATTAGGAATTTCAAAGCACCATTTATTTGGGAATAAAATTATCGCGTTTTTTTTTAAATCAATCAATATCTGTCGAATTTAAAACGATTTGCGGAAAAATAGTATGTTTACCTCGTAGGAAAAGCCACATTCCTGGACTCTGTGTTGCTAAGTCTCGGCTTGCGCCTCGACTTAGCAATCTTCACAGTCGTCCAGGAATGTTAAGCTTTTCCTACCCGGTAAACAATGTACTATAAAGAAAAAAAGTTATTTTGTACAAAATGTTTTTAGCATTTTTGTATAAAATAAACCGATCTCTTAGAAACAAAGCTTGAAGCTATTTTGAATGTTAGTTACGCTCGAAATCAATGTTCAATAAAATTTGTATCAATTCGACGGTAAAAATTCGATAGCTTTTGATCCAAGTGTTTTACCGACAAAAATCAAGATGTGTTTTAAAGGTAAATGGTGCAGCTTTCGTATGCAATTTTTGTATTTTGCCGTGAATAAACTCAGTTTTTATAAAGTGTTAAATAAATAAACATGGCGCAATTTTTAATATTTTCTATGATTCTCATAAATCAATACAATTTATTACTCTCATTGACTGACCACGGTGAAGTTTCTGTTAATAGAGACCAATCTTTAAAACTATAGTAGGTATGAAATTTTATTGTTGAGTTTTGGGAACAAATGTGACACATTTGAAATATGCTTTAAAAACGCTGAATTTAAACTTTCGAAAATGATCGTAAGATTCGTAAACTTTTACAAGTGATCTAAAACGTTTAAAGCTTTTATTTAACTACCCGATTAATTGGCTTGAACGTCATGCAGCTTAGTTTTTGTTTTACTCCACAGATCCGCCCATGAGCTGAGGATTTTTTTGTTTTACCAATATTTAAAGATCCTTATGGATTTGTACCTCTTTGAAGGCTAAGTCAGAGGAACATGCTGCTTTAGCAGCTTGGTCTGTTTTTTTGTTTTACAATATACCAACATAAGATGGAGTCCAGATCATTATGACTTTTATGTTAGCAGAATATAGTTGGTTACAGATGGTGTGGATTTCCTGGACTAGTGGGTTTTTCGAGCAAATGCATCTTATGGAATTAAATCGAGGAAAGAAAATCAGTACAAATGGCGATTTTTATGCTTTCATTTAAACTAGGATGCATTGAAGTCTTCAATGCTTGGAATATTCCATATAATTCTGCGGTGTAGATACTACTTTTAGGAAATCGCACAGAGCTTATTGTCGTCGTCAGTGTGGACACAGCGGAGTCACAACAATCTTTATTCTTGGACGCATCGTCGTATAAAATTTCATCAAATTGTGTTAAGTTAAAAATGTTTGGGAAGGATTTTCTAAGGATTGAGTTAGGTGTTTCTGTTTTGTCAAATCTGCATAAATATGTATTGAATATTGGAAGATTGTGCATCCATGGAGCTGTTTTGGGGGTATAAATAGAAGTAGTATTGGAAAGGTTGATGAACTCTAATAAAGAAGATAATATTTGTGATATTAGAGATTGATTTTCGTGGTAATGTGGTAATATAAGAGGATGCATTTGCTGGGGGAGGTTCTGTGGGATTGATTAGATTTATTATTAGGTTACTTGAGTTTGCTATTATTTTTACAAAGTATGATAGTAGAAGCTGCTGCCTTCTTAGATGAAGTGGTGGCTCTGAAGATTCATAGTCGTAATGATGTATTTTTAATCGTGTTTAGAGACTTTGGTAGGGAGGTACTAGATGCCATATAAAGAATACTGCCATAATCTAGCTTAGATCCAATTAACGATCTATATATTTGAAGAAGAGATTCTTTATGAGCTTCCCAAGAGAAACTAGTAAGAGATTTAAGTAAATTGATTCTTTGGGTACAGTTTTCTTTAAGTCTTTGAATATGCTGTCTCCAGATAAGCTTTTTATCAAAGGTGATACCAATAAGTGTCAAATAATTAACTGTTTGTAAACTAAGTCCGTTTAGAATTATAGAAGGTGGATTAGGTCTTTGGTAAAGTGAATTAGTGTAAATTACTGTGGATTTAGGAGCTGAAAACCCAAATCCAGTATGCGCAGACTGGATATCTATTTTGTTTATTGCATTTTGTAGCAAGTGCTGGTGCAGCTGTAACTCTGCCTTGACAGTTTGATGCAATATCATCAGCTCATATCGAGTACTTGCTTGGTGGTTCTATATATGAGGAAAAGTCTCAGGCTAGGTAAAAATAAGGTAGTGCTTAAAACTGAGCCCTGAGGCAAACCGTTGTCCAGAGCATGTATTTTTGATATGTTTTTTGCGTTTTTACCCTTCTACGAGGGAGGGATTTTGTGGGGAAACCCGAGGGTCAAAATGGTAAACTTTTTTTCATTTGTTTTGAGGTCACAAAACTCATATTCTTGACAAAATTCAACTTGTTCATATGAGTTTTAGGGGTTTAATCTCTGACGACTGGTATTTTTGAACAATTATACAAATTGCTGGGACCTCTTCAAAACTGATGATTGTATGATAAAACGTATTTAATAGACGTATTAGACGAGTGAACTTACTATAAGTAAGCTGTTAATTTATTTATTTATTTATTTTAAAAGACACAAATAAAAGATTTCTATAAATTTGAAAGACTGTAATATGAAGGTGTGTGAAAGAAAGTAAGTGATAAAATTGAACAACAAAGTACATAGTTATGACGAATTAGCCCAGTGTATAAATATTTATTTATTAGTTGTATAAGTGATAATTTATTTAATTAGAAATAACGTGCGTGTCTAGTGTAATAAAAAACTCTTTGGAACATGTTTTCAATAAGGCTTATGTTAACTTTTACACTAGTTACAAGTGAATAAAAAGAAACAAAACATAATATAACCAAAGGTTACTTATCTTTCCAGTTCAAACTTTTTTTTAGCCAGAAATAATTTTAATTCGAAATAAGAAAACAAGAATAAAGCAAAATAAATAGAGTCACTAATACCATCATTACGCACTTACTGTTTTATCTTATGCCACAATGGCTTAATAAAATTACTGGCTCAATAAATTAGGTTTGTACTGTTCAAAGGCTATGAGATGGTGAGCACTTGATACAAGACTATTTTTCAAAATTTCTTGATAGTTTAATCGCTGCCTTATTTGTGCCTTCCACCACCTCATATCTTCCTAGACCAACAA